ATTTGCATAAAATGACAACCTACCTACCGGGACTACTTTGGGAATTTCCAGTGAAGAAACGTGACTACCAATAAAACTTAACTATTAATAATTTTGTAGAAAACATCCATGCCACAATTTTGATTGCAATTTTTGCTGAGTTACATTAACAGATTAAAGTTGTATGTAAAGAAAATATACTTGGTAGTATGTATGTATCCTATGCCACTGTACTATGATTTTTAGATAGACTTTTAAAATTTCTCTGATAAAATGATGGTCAAAAACAATCAGAGAGATTTGTCTAAACATTAAGACCCGCCAGTGGCGGATTGGCCTATTTTTCAATCTTTCACAGACCTATGCGCCTCTGGGTATGGCGTTGCATGTAGAAAAAAAAAATTATAAATTATTTTAACCTTTATTGTATTTTGTGCATTTTATACCAAATAAATAAATATAAGTAAATAAAAATATAAATTAAGATAACTAACACTCAAAAAAAAAAAAAATATTAAACTACATTCATATAAATATACATCTGAACTGGTCAGAAATGGTATTTAATAGTCTCTAACCCCCAAAGTGTCGAAAGTGAGTGCTGTTCTTGCCCCACAGTGCCTCTCATTTAGTTATTGGACCAGTAGCTACCTGCCGTAAGGAACAGTAATTGCCTATGATTAATCAGCATATGTCTAAAGACAACTTGAAGGATGAAAACAAAACTTATGAACAAATAGGTTGGTAATCAAAATGCGAGCCCTCAAATCACTGTGTCCTGGGTTCAAATCCTGTAACATACAAATAAACAAACCTTCACTCCTTAAGTCCCATGTTAATACTCAAATTAATTCCAGAAAGTTCCACAATCTAGTATGAATATTGATATCATTAAAATATCAAGTAATTTATTAGAATTTGTAGTTAAAACCCCATTGACTGACTGATGATTCAGTCTTATTTCAAACATGTCAGTTATAGGTTATTATTATTATTATTATTATTAGTAATAGTAGCAGTAGTAGTCGTAGTAGTATTTGTGACTATATAGCATGACATAGGGCATGATTAAAGCAGAGCTCACAAATAAAGTTGGTACTTCAGCTATATATTTTACTTAACATGTATATTTATACAAAATTTTTTTCGCAGGGATCATTTCAAAAAAGGCAAAGTCAATAATAAGTACCATAGACATACAGGTTCATAACCAGGAATCCCGTATGGCATCTAAATGCCCTGGTCGGATTCAGGGAAGATTTTTTTTTTTATAGACTCAGGGGAAAGCAATGTAGAACTTAAGCATTCTAGCAGGTAAATTGTGAATTTTATCCTTATTTTGGAAGGTTTTTGATGCAAGTGAATAGGTTGGTTTTGTTTATTTGAAAAGGAGGATTCAGCTAAAGCACAGAACACCCTAGTTACGGTCTAGGATATATTTAAATTCTAAAGCGTGATGAGTCTATCCCTGAGTTCCGGCTCAATGTACAACAGTTAACGTAATTATAAGATAAGTGATTCTAAATTAAATTTATAAGTTCCGCCGCATGAACTTGAACTACAAACCTACTTAATGTAAGTGACTCATAACGAGTCTGTACATCTGTTATCGCTGGCAGAGGGAGTTAATAATAGCATGTGAATCTGCCAAAGGAATTATACAATAATATTTGTATATTATTGCATCGGCATCCCGCCAACAAGGCAATACCCCTAGCACTTTACTTCCTTTCTCATTGAATTCTTAGTAATCATACACAACAATGAACGCCTGGGACCTAGGAGTGTGTGGTTGGCTTGTTTGTTTTGGTCAGAAAAGAGAAATATTCTTGGTAAATTGATTCTCAAACGAGATAATGAAAGCTCTTTAATGACTCAAGCTACTGCATGACCATTTTTATATTTTTAATAAAACCAATTTCTTCTAATTTTAAATATGTATTCCCCTGAATTCGTGATAATTCGTGCATAGACTTGTGCTAAATGCGTGACAAATTTATGATCACGCATGTGTTTCTGCAAAATGTGTGTTTCATCCAAAATCACTTTTAAATGCGGGACCGTCCCGCACAATGCGAGACGGTTGGTAACTATGACATGAATATGGTATGATGATTATGACTGACGTGGTGCATAGGAATGGATTTGTGAGTTCATGACAAAGTGTTGTGAAAGTGATATAGAAATCCCTGTTCTTAATTTGAAACATAAATATTCCAATATTATAATCATATAAATCATTAATGCCATATAGGCACATCATGACTATATTTGGGCATACAACATTTTTTTGTCAAATACTATTTGATAATTGGAGTTTAATTCTCATTAAACTATACTGGTATGAAGCAAATATTGTCTAGCTTACTTTTTTTTTACAGTGTACATAGAATGCTATTCACATTATTAAGCCATGTTACTGTTAGTTTAGGACTAGGATTAGATTTTAGAACTAACTGATTAAAGAGACTTGTTTTTTTACTTTTTGTCAATTTCATAAACAATGCAATAATATGCGTTAATTAAGTCCACCATTACTACAATTTCACATTATCTTAAATTATCGCAAGTACTTAGGATCTAATTGTAATACGATTGCCTGTAGCCGAGTTCACTGGTAGCCATGCCATTACTTTCTAATTTGCATAACAAATTTCCGGGACTATTATTATTATTATTATTGACCCTGTTAAGGTCACACTATTTTTAAAAATGGGTTTTTCCAAATAGAGTTGCATATGCTTATGCATTCAATGGACCAATCAAAATATGACGCATGAATCGTGCTCCAACAATTGAGGGCTCTTATGTACAAAATAATGTTTGACGTGTTGTAAAAATAACAAATGTTTTATGTTTTATAAAAAAAACAAATATATAAAACTGTAATATGTATGCAAGATATAGTACTTAAGTGGGACTGCAGCTTAGTGGTTAAGATGGTTAGCTTCCGATCAGTTTCCTGGGGGTGGGAAATGGGGTATAAAGCACCATACTTAACCGTCATATCATGACAAGGCATTTATATCTTCTCGTATCAAAGGGTTGATAACTATGATCAATAAGCACGCTGAAATGTTGTGATAAGATTAGACGGTGTGATTCTATTTCAATTTGAATAAATGTATTTAAAACTATAAAGAAACAATATTTGAGTATGGTAGGAAAATTATTGAAGGTACATGAAAAGCAAGTAGAGAGAATTTATATTCATCTATTACTTATTATAATACTTAATAGGTAGTAGTTTTTGTTTTTATTTGGTGGTTTAATGTGCCTGGGATGGTGATATAGAAGTTAGTTGAGTAACTGTATAGGATCTCTATTCTTAATTGAGAAGGGTTTAATCTCAAGGAATTAAAATCACCCACTACAAATACATTTATGCAAAACAAAACATGAAATGGTATATATAATAACTTGAAAATAAATCGCTACCATAATTAATTTCTGCTAAGTGTAAGAACACTGTTTATCAGGTGTAAAATCATATCGCTTTTGGATGTAAAATTTTTCCCCTTAATAACTATTTTACAAATGTTATAATCAACTGTTTACCTGTTCATTTCATATTCATCTAGGACCTAATTAATAACCTGGGGACTTGTATATTACTAATTAAAATGGATCTTAATCAATAAGTAAAATTTATTACACCAAATCAACTAAAATTTCAACAGGTGTACCGTAAAATGTGGATAAAAGCAAACTGCAAAAATAGAGATTATGTATTATCTTCTGAAAGTTGACATAGAGGAAAAACATCAAAGTGTAATGTAAAAAGCATGTCACGCTACACTGCCATGCAAGGTCAATGAGATGAGGTCAGCACTTCTCTATCAGCCATATTGTGCAGGTATTTGCATAAGAGAGAGTCAAACTACAACAACATCCAGAACTACTTTCAATAAGCATAACAATGGTTGTTTGCTGGTCTCACGTCAGGTGCAATTTTTAGATATGGGATTTCCACTAGACACGTGCTTACCAACGAAAACCTATCCATTAATATTTACGTTGGAAAATCCATACCACGATTTCGACTGAAATTAATTTTTTGACTGATTTACAGACATTTTACTAGAAAAACAATACATTTTTATGGTATTATTTATGCTTACCTTATGAGTACAACGAAGAAGGTTTCCAACAGAAATTTAAAAATTCTTGGAGACAATGACCAAAAAATATGAAATGTAAAGGGCTCATCCAAGCCTTAGGAAAATCAACAGTCCATGCTTTGTATAGGTGCTAGAAAACAAAACCTATCAACAAAAAGCCAACCATAGAATCCTCCCTATTCAACTAGAAAAACCATACAACTAACAATCCTGTGTGGTGGTTTTTTAATGGTCAATGGGTGGGGAGGTGGATGGTCACACAGTAGCAAGGAAATTAGTAAGTAAACAGAAGTTAGGATAGCTCTTGAGAGCCATGTAACAATAATAATAATAAGTCAGACATTTTTACCACGCCAATTCAAAGTGTGTTGTGAATAATCCTGACTAAAACACAAACACACTTAGCTTAATGAATAGGATGAATAAAGGATAAATCCACAATATAGGCTATAGTGTATAAAAATAATTCATATATTTATATATTTTTTTTAATATAATTCAGAGCGGAGAAGCTATGCATTTACTCTGAAGATATTATTATTATTATTGTTATTTCAATTTCACAGCATTTCCTAATATCATCAGAATATAATCCTCAACTGGGGTGGGTGAATGGAGGGAGGGTGTGCGATTGCACCACCACCCCCCAACCCCATAAGTTGTACTAAGAAAAATAATTGTTTTGTATTGTTGATATGAATTATGAATTACCGGTAAGATTTTTTAGGTATGAGAGTGCAATTTCCAGGCATATTCTCAAAATTTTCTACCCTCAGCCCCAACCATGTTAGGGCTGAGGTGCACCCTATACCAGCATCAGGGTTAAGGATACCTGGGTATGACTGTACCTTCTGTATGTGAGTGTCTATGAGGGACTTCAATAGCCTGCCTATTTCTCACCTGTAAATATTTGGTCGATCAACTGCCTCTGAAGCACAATTTCTCTAATGGACATCACCATAGCTACCACACACCACGCAGGTACATTCCTCCTAGGTTAAAAAAATCTTTGAAAAAAAACATTAATATATTAGTTTTTAAAGAATTATTAAATGACAAAATATTTATGGAGAATTATGTATGAATTAAGACAATAAATAATTATAAATAATATATTTAAAAATGAAAAATTTTATTTCCATTCTTTAGTCTAAAGATTATGTGTCCATTAGCGTCCCCACCCCGGCCACTGACTGCAGCACTTATTTGATCATTCTTGGTATTGTGTATCCACCTATGCTATGTTAATATTAGTTGCGTAGAAAAAAAAATAATTATATGGAGAATTTAGAAGTCTAAATTCCAAATACTTGGAAATAAATAAATAAATTTGCTGCATAAAATGGATGTGTGGATGAGACAATCAAAATATATTATTCAATAAATAAGCTAGGCCTAGAGCTATGCCTGGAGCTCTGTCCATCCATGAGAAGATAAAGGTACTGTGCAACACTTCCTCTTGGAGGACCAGACTAGCCCTTAAAATAATAATCTTGATCTCATTTTACGATAGTAATCATAATTTCAAAAACCTAGCATTAGTATATACAACACACTGATGAGGTAGAATCTCCATCCATAAGTCAGGTTTGATTGATCCTATGTGTATCCATCTTGATAATAACATCTGAAAAATACTTTAAAGAAAAAAAACTAACAAGTTTAGGTATCATTTTTTTTCTTCAATTGACAAAAAATCTTTATAATGGGATGATTACATGAATAGCCCCTTACTGTATTAATAGCCAGAACCAAACCTATCACAAAGAGTACACCTGCATAATATAATATAATAATAATAATTTACATTTCTTTTGCGCATAATGCATGGTGCCTCTATGCGCTTTACATAAAATTATAAGACAAAATCATGAAAAATGTAGTTAGATTTATATAGCGCTTTTTATCCTTAAAGCGCTCAAGGCATAGACTAGCTCCCATAGTAACATCCTTCTCCCCTAAGGGTCAAATTTGTGTCTTTGGTAAATAATATTAATAGTGTAGTTTTATATAGCGCACAAATCCATCTAATGTAAGATGCTCAGGGCGCTTGAAATGTGGACTAGGAACTCGATCAATGACTTTCTTCGCCACTAAGGGTCCCTTCGTGTCTGTGCTACCCGGTAACCCGGTGCCAGCAACTCTCGTCGTCCACCACAGGGGCTGTCTGTTCCAGTACACCGGGGTATCCCCCTACTCGTCTCGAAGGATGTACTGGGTTCTTTATAGTGCACACGAGCCATTGTATACAAATACTTCTCAACTTTTGGAAGTTTTTTTATAAGTCTTTATGACTGTATGACAAAATTATATTTTATTGATAAGGTAGAAATGTAATAATCACCATAACTAACTTTGTATCATGTATTATATTATATAAAATTTATAAAACAGTATTCAGCATGTATATATTTATATTGTATATATTACTATGTAGAATGGCATATTTTGCATAACAAGTTATTGGAAATTCCTGTTTTAGCTGACAGCGTCATTCCCAGTCTAGAATAGTCTTTCGTCTAATCATTTCTATTTTTAATATCGGTGTTTTCCAAACACATAACGATTAATGGAACTATTTTTTTTCATGTTAATAGCCAATCAGCATAAGTGTAAGGGTATTTGTAGTGATCAGGCTACTTAGAGAGGGCTCACTATTTAGAATGTGATTCTGTCTAGACTACAATATTTTCCTATTTTCAAGAATGGAATGTTCCTTGACTGACGTAATAATGAATGGCACTACTTTTTTTGTTAGCCAATCAGTATCGGTGCAAGAATTGGTAGTGATGAGGCTATTAGAGAGGGCTCACTACTTACCATATGGTATAGTCTAGAATATTCCTCATGAATGGAAATTCCCCCAAAATTTACGAAAATCAAAAATAAATCGAACTATTTTGTCTTTGTCGTCAGCCAATTGCCACTGGCGCAAGTATATGTAGTGATGAGTTTTCGGAGAGGGCTCACTTTATCTGAATCTCTCTACGGAATAGATTTCGTTCATGGAGATTGTTCAATACCAAATTTATTCTCAGTATTAGGAATAGGGTTACAGGACCTATGGACCTGTAGCCAAATGGCTTAGATGTTTGCATTCTACAGAATTTTGGGTTCAAAACCTGCAACTCATTAGTTTCTCTCTATAATAAAATACTTCTTTGTATAGTATTAAGAAAACAAATGGTTCATAAAGAATAGGCCGAATTAGTCACCAAAACAAAGCGGCTATAGTGGGTATAACATCCGAACAAACCGCTAGGTGGCAGTTTTTTTCACACAATAGAAGTCTCCGCTTAAATATATTTCGACAGTTTTAAAACTCCTCAAACTTATTTATTTGTACATTTTATCGTAAAATGGATGGATGTGGTGAGTCCCGCGAGCGATTAGCCTAGGCCCCCTACAAGGCCTCTTAAAACACTTCATATTTTTAGTCTGAATGGAAATGTAAATCAGATCAACCTTAAACTCATGAATCCATGATTGTTAATAATAAAAAGTATCTTCTATGCTAACTTCATTACATTTTAGACGATTTAATATGCACCACTTTCGGCTCCGCTCAATGCATTAGCATAGGACTTTGGCGAGGTAAACAAATGTGATGACGTCATATTTGGTCACTAATTCGGTCTATTATATTACTGTATCATGTAGATGTTAGAGGAAAATTTTTGAAAATATTTACCCGGAAAGTCTAATTATCGAAAGATGACTGATGCTGTATCTATGTAACCTTTGCTTCTCTCTTGAGGATGTTACCATACATTTGCAAACCATTTCGATGGGAACATTTTACCTAGATGCAAAAAGGTGGTGGAAAAAGGGGGGAAAACATTTAAGACATAGTATCATAATGCTATTGGTTCCTGAAGTGACTGAAAATTTCTTAGAGGATTCACTATACAATTTCACAATTACTACTATTATTATTATTTTAATATTAGTGAATTCCATGTTAAAAATCATAATACTTTCTTTTAGATTTGTAACCTCTATTTTTTATATACAGTGTGTTTCCTTCTATTTTGAATCACCTTTACATAATTCTACTCAAAATTGATGGTCACATTCGAATTATGTTCTTTATATTATTAAATAATTTAATAGTTACTTATATAAATTGCTTGTATAGATGTTTAAGGGTGTATACCACTTGGCCTAATAGCTCAGTTAGTGATAGCTTCAGAAGGGTAATAGGAAGCTTTGATTCCTGAAGGGGGACATACACTTTTCTCAAATATTTATTATCATCTTCAATTATCATCAGTGGAGGTGTATCTCCATACCACTATCATGTGATTTACTATTATTCATCGTATATTATGCAATACCTTCAGAAATAAAAGACATAATGGGATAACCCTAGGGTGTATTATATACCACTTGGCCTCATACCTCAGCTGGTAGAGCAGGTTGGAGGGCCAAAGTGAATGTCTGATTTAACAGAGGGCTGCAACCAAACTTTGATGTTTCAAGTGAGCTTCCAAAAACCTCCAAGCACTGCTTTTACACCACTTTATTCACAGTTTTAATATTACTTTTTACATATCATCGATGTCAGGTCGTAAAAAGCAAGATGTTTCTAGCCAATGTTGCTTGAAGGGCCGCAAATATTGGGTTTTTAATTCACTTTCGCGGGCCACAAAAAACAAAATCGCTGTTGGGCCCATATGGCTCGTGGGCCGCACCTTGCCCACCTGTGTGGTAGAGTGTCCTAACAATAATTGGAAGGTCTTGGATTCGACCATATGTTTTTCTCAAATACTTAATACTATCATACATAAAAAACAAAAATTATAAATAATTACTTTTTCTCTAGATCTGTATGAAACTTGATGACTTTTGATCATGGTGGCTTACAGAAGCTAGTATCAACTTAGCTGAGATCTACATAGAGGATGACGAAGTCTCTAAAACAGCAGTTGGTCAAAATGGATCGGACAAATGGGCATCAGAAAGAATAATGTGGTAAAACTGAAAAAGGCACACAGAAAAGAACAACAGTAAATAAATGTTATATTCCTAGATTTGTTATTGATGTTCTCCATTTTATTTTGGATTATATTACAGGTCTATTCAATACATATTGTTGCTTCAAATCATATCCAAATCGCGTGCTTTATTTTTCGTAATTGATTTAGCAGCAGCACAACAAAGTTAATACTGTTTAAATATACAAAACTTTGGGTTTTTACAAATCACTATTTATAAATTATCAAAATATCATGTTAAACTTCCTAAAACACACAAACACAAAAAAAAAAAAAAAAAATGATATACTATGTCACTTTTTCCTTAGATCTGTGTACAACATGATGAACTGTTTAGATCAAGTGGTCACTGTTGCTTACAGTAGCTGGTATCAACTTAGCCAAAATTGCAAGGACGATGATAGGGTCTCTATATGAGTTGGGCTTTGTGGTATGATCAATGGACATCAGAATTGAGAAACTGCCTCTCTATGGTGGAAAACTGGTAAAGACAAAAAAAAAAAAACCAGTAAACAAATAATATTGTAGATTTTTACTGGTGTGTTTCATAAGTTTATTTTGTTTTCTTATTTATTCACCTTATGGGTATACACACATCATTGATGGTTTAATATCTCCTCTGCATCAAATGCTTTATTCTCTTGACCGATCCCCCAGTACCACTACATGGGGCATGCCATCCAATGACCATCCAATGACCAAAAAATTGAAAATTGACTTTTCAATATATTCATATTCTCCAAGCTTTAAAATTTACTGGAATCACTTACTATTGCCAAGTGAGTAAAAGTATAATTGCTTCTCTGTACAGTAAGTATAAATTACTGACACATTCTTATGCTAATTACTCAGTTCAATATTTAGCAACTTTGGGATGGCAAGTCTTATATAAGTAAATTACTTGAGATTTGGGATATAAATAATTAGTTTGATAGTAATTGTTATTGTTGTGATGGAATAGACAATAACTGGATTTGCGTCAGGAGAAACATGTATAGGTGTAATTTTGCCCTACCTGACGTGGAAATGTACCGAATACTCAGTACATTTGAAAACAACTGCGAAAAAAATCGCAAGTTGTCCTCGGGTGGTACTCGAACCCACGATCTCCAGATCACTAGCCTGGCATCATACCTCTAGACCACCGAGCTTGCGTCTGATGGCCAGGGTTGAATTCGAGTCCAAGTAAGCAGCGGGTACTGCAGTGTTGATAGTAATTGTTATTGTCGTGATGGAATAGACAATAACTGGATTTGCGTCAGGAGTATAGGTGTAATTATGCCCTACCTGACGTGGAAATGTACCGAATACTCAGTACATTTGAAAACAACTGCGAAAAAAAAAAAGGTTGTTAGTTTGTCATGTTTAGTTAAATTCTGTATAGCACAAAAAAAAATAATAGAAATGATTATGTCACTTTTTTCTCTAGATCTGTGTGGAACATGAAGAATTGTCTTGAATAGGTGGTCACGGTGGCTTACAGCAATTTAGCCAAAATTGGCATGGAGGATGGTAAAATCTCAGTTGGCCTTTGTGGTATGATCAATGGAAATCAAAATTGAGTAAACTGACTCTCTATGGTGAAAAAATGGTAAAGACAAAAAAAAAAAAACAGTAAATATTTAATATATTTGTAGATTTGTTATTGGTGCGTTTCCTAATTTTAATTTGTTTTCTTGAATGTCGTCTTTCTCGAGTGTCGATGGATGACGATGATGATCGTCATTTTGGATAGGGGATACAACCCCCCTCCCACTCGTCAGAGGATAAAAGACATGATACTATAAATCGTTTATATACTAAATGTCAGCCTGAATTGGACAGGCCTATATAAGTTAATAGTTTGGCATTACCTAACAACTTTCTTAGATCAAGGTGCCCTGTATGAGCATCTAGCGGCTTAATATTTTAAAATATTTTCTCATTAAAGAGGGGGGATCACCTCCCTCTAAAACTGTCCCCCCCCCCCCCGGCTCAGGCCTACTCTCTTCTGATGGCGCTACGAACTGAAGTACAACTTTTGCCCTGCCGTCAGGAAAATCCTAGCGCCGCCACTGCTGATATACTAAATTATTTACTTTGGGATTTGGAAAATAATAAATAATCAGTTTGCGATGTTCAGTTAACTTAACAAAAAATAATAGAAATTACATACTATGTCACATTCTTTCCTCTGTCTTTATTAGGTAGTTACAGTGGCTTGCAGTTAGCTGAGTATTAACTTTGCCAACATCTACCTGGAGGGAGGATGATGAGATCTCTACATCAGTTCGTAGTTCGTAGCCATCATGGATGTTGGATATCACATCTGAGTAGTAAACACGAATCTGTAGGGTGGAGTAATTATAATGTGTAAGTTTAAAATCTCTAAAAACACTTTTAATCTTAATCACAATTAAGCTCTGTTCACACTATCAAACTTGTACATGCCCATATATAGTCATGATGTCCCCATATATAGTCATGATATGCCCATATATAGTCATGATGTGTCTACATATAGTCATGATGTGTCTATATATAGTCATGATATGCCCATATATAGTCATGTGTCTATATATGGTCATGATGTGATGTCATCATGACCATATTTAGGCATGTCACATGTATTTGTCCAATAAAATTTGATAATCTGGATAAGAATTAATCTATTCAAGCTGGCTGCCAGGTTTAAGTCACCTATTATGACCTTTAATACAATATGACCTATTCTGTAGAAATGCTAACCAATCTGAAACTGTTGCTGTAATTCAAGTGCTGTGTTGTAGGCATACGCATATCATGCTTGTTCACAGAGCAGCGCTATAACCTTCGGTTATATCTTTCGGGCGAGTCGAGCGATCAAACAGTAATGCAGGGGCGCCGTTAACTACAGCCTTAAAATCAGCATTGGTTCGAGCCACTCCTTGCCTATGGTTCCTCTAGTCATGACTATCAAAACACCAAACGTGGATATTCAAAGTGTTCATATCAAGTGGCAGGCTACACTTGGGCCTCATCAGGCCTTAGTCACACCTAGCATTATGTCCCAATTGTAAACATAGCCTAAGGCCGTATTTGGATTGGATCATGAATACATACTGGAGAAAATACTGTAGTAAACAGAAGTTTTAATTGTGTATTATTCTAATAATTTCAGATAAAGATGCCCTGTGGAATCAAGGATAAATGCTGTTAAGTCAAACCTAGTGTAATGTACCATACTATATTCTTGTACACTTCAACTTCAATCCAAAGGTAAATTTCATTTATATAAGGAATGTTGTTGCAAAATGGCTGTAGCCGCAGTTGTACTGGATTTAAAAAAGGGAAGATTTTACCGAGACCGTGGGTGACATTCCAAACCATGGAATTCTTACCATAAGCCACGGTAAAACTAACAAAGTCGTGAAACCAACTAATGGGGTCGCTAAATTTTATGCATGTGTGGTTGCCCAACATAGCGGTAAAGGTCATCAACTTCAGTGACTCAGGTCGTCCCGGTAAAATTAGCTTGGTTAGTTTTCCTGGGCAAACAGGTGTCGGGTACATTAACCGCGGGTAAGTTTCCTGAGCTCAAAAGATGGCCTAAAGATAAAAAAAAAAATGTTTTCACCATTATCAACAGTTCAATATCCAATTAGTCATGTCCAAAAATCTTAGTTCTGGAAATGGCAAACAAACCATTTATTTAACATTATTTTGGTAGTGAATTCCATTAAACAATGTATGCACAAATAACATTGGAAGACAATCACTCAAAATCATGTTTATCTTGCCTAAGAGTGCTGTACTTTCACTTACCAATAAATAAGGCCTGAAATGTCCAATTTCAATGAATGACACCTCATTTTATATATTACATATTCAAGTATCTGAAAATACCAATAACAAGAATTTCAATATTTGCAACTTAGCCATTCTGCCACAAACATGCCTCATATTGCAATGCTCATCATTCAAAACAACTTTTTATTAATTAATATTTTCTTCATTCAATATGAATGATCAGAAAATAAGCGTAGGATGAAAACCCACTTTCTCTAGAAAAGGCAAATGGCCCCATACCTACTGTAAAGGAGGCCAGGAAATATTCATCAGCATATTTTTTCCCATTAAATGTGCTAAAATTAAACCTTCAAATATATACGTCAAAAGCACCGAAGTGGGTGGGGTATGTCCCATACCCAGCTGACCTCAAAGAAGCCTTAACCAGGGCCTTAAGCCTTCTTTGTACACCACTGACAACGGACACTAATATCCTACAGTTTATACTCACTTATGCATGCCTCCATGGCTTTGCTGTCGTTGTTTGTCATTCAATACAGACTTCTGTTTCTCCTACTGTACGGCTTTATCTTTTTATCCAAATATGCCAGCCAAAATAACATACTGCATGTAAGAACATTGGTAGAGCTAGTTGCAGGATGCCTGTAAATATCGAAGTCACAACATGTTAATACTGTATAAACGTTTATTTGCTTTACAATGTAAACTTCTCAATCTGAGTTTTAAGATAACAGAGACAATCAAAATAGTTTGAGGAAAATTATGAAAAACACATTAATGGGAAAGGAGTAATTCTACCCACTGACTCACCCCATTCCCCCATCCATCTTCACACACCATTTGCCACACCAGTTTATTGTTATGTCCTAACACTGTATCACAGTAACATTATTAATTAGTAATACCCTAGTATTATATAGTCAGATTTTGGATGGTAATGTACACACCAAAACTTATTTTTGTATTTTACAGAGAAAATGTAAATTCACTGAAAGAGCAACTCGACATCAAGACACAGAAATCGCTACAATACAGTACAGGTCTATAGAAGAAAACAACACATCTCTGGACACAAAAAAAGTGGATTCATAAAACCAGCCTTAGTACGATTCCAATAACATGCCTCTGGCCACAGAAATAAGTGTGTAGTGCTCACAGCTAGGCATTCCTCAGTAACAATCTTATTTCATTTGGATGGGGGATACATTGAGAAACTGGTAGAAAAATAAAGAATTAAAGCTAATTACATAATAATACTTTGGTTGTATATTGAGGCCAGTCTGCAAATTAGGGCAAATATTAAGCCTAATATTAATAATCTGTCTACACACTTCAAAAATATCTTACAATACACAACCATTGTTATGATTCTACGCACCTACCGGTAGCTAGTTTGGAGCAAATTATAGTATTTGGATGTATCCCCCATGCAGATAAAATACTTTAGAATGTGGTTGGGACGGAAGTCGGCTACTATTTTTGTATGCAGTTACAGATTTCTAGTTGTAGATTTTTTAGGCTGAGCATTCTCCCCACAGGCCCTATTTACAGTCTGTTCTCTCAGTCTACTATAGGAATCCAAATAAAATATTAGAGCTTGCTATTGACTGTTGAACTGCTCTGGTTGCAGACTGTAAAATAGGACCTGTATAATGAATATATTCCTCGCACAAACACTTAGGCCTAAAAATACAATCGTGGCTTTAAAATAAGGGATGATTTCCGCGTAAATTTTGTATAAATTTTGGCTTTTATGTTTTTATACAACCAATGCATCACGCAGTGTTTGACATGCATGCTGCCCACATATTTTCCTATCAAATTTCCATGGAAATTTGAGCTATTTTTAATTCTATATATCCTCACACAAGTAAAATACTTTACACTACACTGTACAGTATGGCTCTGGTAACTGATATGAATACATTTCACTTACTTTGTGCAAAAGATTGCTAAAGTGAGTACCTACTAGTGTTGGTATGTACCTGAGTGACTCCTGCACATGCTTTTGTTTGTTTGTTTTTCTGTGTCACGTCCGTTGCCCGTGGCATGCACACTTAAGTATTTGTATTCCTCAATGAATTTCAAGTTCCAACTGACTGACCCTTTCGAGTAGTAGGCCTACTCAACGTAAACGTAGCCTAGGCCTACCCTTCTTAATCTTACTTATCAAAGTACAGTTAACCAAGAAGCAGTAGGCCTAGTTACTAACTTCGGTATTCCTGGCCCTACAATTATTAGGACTACGCAAGCCTAGACTAGCTACAGGACCACCAGGACAGGCCTCCTACTAATACTATTGCTAGGCTAGGCCTAGAACTGATGCTAGGTAAACTCAAAGCGGCGTAGAGGTAGAGCCAGCCAAGAGGCACAGAAAAAGTGTAGGACCTCCTGTCTAGCTTTAATGCTAGCCTAGCTAGTAGGCTAGGCCTTGATTCCAATAAGTTTCATGTCACTATTGTTGTAGTTACGTTATTCATATAGTAACGTTTTAAGCCTAGCCTACACCACTCTTTTTTCTTTCTTTTTTTTTAATAATTAACTAAACTTACGTAAAATTATGGCCAATAAAGATAGAGACAAAAAGAAATCAAAAAAGAAAAGAAAACAAAAAGATTGAACAAAGCGCCACCACAGATAACTACGTTTACAGGTTATACGACGATATTTGTCCCAATTCCTAGAAGAAAAAAAATAGGAAAAATAAGAAGATTAAATACTAAATTATTTTATTCTATTTATTTTATTTTAACAATATTTTGAGAAGGTGGTCAACTTAGTCTAAGCTGTTCAAACTTTGAATGGATAGACTATAAACTAAAAATGTTAGGAAGAATAATTTATAGTTACACTTAAAAAGTGTGCCAAGTACAGTAATTCGGCCTTTTAAACATAAAACAGTGTGTATTAATAATAAACGTTTATAGAATTATTACTGTATAAATTCGCATAGTATTTAACAGTCACTAAAGTGGAACGTTCGTAGGGGAAGGCAAAGGGCCATGTAATCATGGTAAAACAATCTGTACAAATGTTAGAGTTCTCTGGAATCGAAAAGGTTACCTCACGTATATTAAAATAGTATGTAAGTGTTAGAGCATAATACGTCTAGAACGTATTGAAGCTCTGACGAATTTCTTATTACTAGAAAATTAAAATATAAAACAATTATCAGGACGTCTTTCAAACTACTTCCCAATTTAACATTATTTATGGTGTTCGTTTAAAATATGATTTGGTGGCTAAATTTAGGCATAATTAGCATAATGAATTACTCATGTAGCTCTTCACAAACATATTATACTTCTTGTTTTTTCCATCTTCTTACAACTTATTGCTGTTGGGGTTGGGGGAGGTGTTGGGTGGCTGGGGTATATTGGCCATTTTCCATGCTCTAGGAAAAGTACCTTCACTAGGTGACCAGTTAAAAAGCATAGGGCCTACACAGCGGTTGACAGATGGCAGGAGTACCAAGTTTAGTGATATCACTACCAGATGACTTTTTTACATCTATTTCACGTAAAAGTGTTTCGATGCGTAAAATATCAATATTGAAAGTAGATACATCTAGAAGGTCTGCAGTATAAATAGACTTTTTGGAACACTGTTCAATACAGAACTATAAAATATGTATTAAATAAATTAGCTTTTTCCTCAGTAAAAGAGGCAGTAGTTTCATCATGTTTCAAGTTGAAAATGACACTCTTTTATAATAAAATTCATCATCATCGATCAATAAACGCCGTGATGTTCCATTGAAAATAAAACTCAATTGTCATTGATGTATTTTTAATTTACTTTACCATGTGCCGAAAACCAATCTAATTATTTTTATTATTACAAGTACACTTTTTCTCATACTTCTTTAAATTATAACAAAGGCACGCGCACAAGAGCCGTGTATTATAAGAAGGCCCAATTCAGATGTTTGTGGGCAGAGATAGAGTACCGGTTGTACAACACACTTTCGTTAAAACCTGGGTTATTTATGCAGTTCATTTCAACAATTTCCAGGCATCTTATTACATTGCGGACGAAAAGTAAGGGACCAACCCCCACCCCCTTAACAATATTTTAGAACGTGGCCCCCGTCCCTCCTTGATCATGGGTTTAGAAAGAAGCCACCCCTTCCCGAGATTTTTTTGGAATTAGTTGACGGCTAGACGCTCTTGGATGACATCTGAAAAAAGTTGAGCTTAAAATAGAAAGTATATTTTTTACGAGAGTAGCCTACTACATGTAACTATATAAGGAGCACACACACAAGACGAGTGACTATATATATTTTTTCAAGATGGCAGTTCCAAAGAGAAGGTTGAATTGACAATTTAAAATAAACATATATTTTCTAAACTTTGTATCTGCTAATTCAGTGTTCATAAAATGTTCGTTAGTCGCTCACTAGTGACCTCATCACTGATAGTCGTCACCTATGGCCAAAAGCTGATAACACAATGTGCAGGCTACAATGATGGTTGCTGAAACGTCAAGTACTAAGGGCTTATCAAAGTCCACTGATTAATCTCAGATAAGATAGTATAATACTCCAAGTATCGAAAATATGCACGCCATCGTGTCGGGATTCATCATCAGGGCTTATAGTGTCTTAATATTGTGTAGTTATATTTTTATACCGATCTGATATTACCAAACAAACTGTTTTTTTCTAGTTGTCAACCTCCATCGATCATTTGCCGAAATATATGAATAATTTTTATTATATTAAATCATTAATCAGGAATTTTAGTTCTGAAAAGCTAAAAGCTGAACTGAAATAATCGTGCATCACGCCCTCTAGTGATGAGCTACAGACTTGTTTTAGAATTACTGTACTGTTAAAGCATGGACCTATTAATAAAGATATCACTATCCATTTACTACCGTATGCTCGAATCATGGACCTATTAATATGCTCGAATAAACTCCGCTCTCGAATATGCGCCGCACCGGAAATTCGGAATTATTGAGACGATCCCTGCACTTAAGGTATCACAGCCCAAAAGTACACTGTAGCTAGTTTTCAGCTCTCCACCAGATGATAGTTTGATCGTTCAATCTGGTAGAATATTTTAATTCAATATATTTTAATTCAATAGAACTTTTATATTCAATAATTAAACACTGGTGATCTTCAATGCTGTAGGTAGGCTAGCCTAGGCCCAGGCGGGGCGCTATGGTCTCATCTAGGCTAGGCTAGGCCTACCCTAGCCTAGCTAGCCTAAATAAAGCACGATTTATCACCATTGGGGTGAGTGACTTGAGACCTATACATTCAGCAGCTGATTGGCTTAATTGATTTCTGGGCCCTTCGTTAAAACACACTTCCAGTGTCGGGAAAGCTTATTTCCTGCCATCTAGGATTTAAAATTTTCCCAGAGGATAATCCCCGGACCACCCTTTCTTTTTTGGATTTATCGATTCATGGAAAAAGGAATAGGCGTGCAACTAATTTATTTATGTATGTATACACACATAAAATAAGACATGAGAAAATTTACCTGACCGTTTTCAAGAGGGAAAAACCTTAAATTTTGAAGAACTTAAAAAGTCATTTAAAAGACATTTCAGAAGTCAGGAAAGCTCATTTTCCGCATTCTAGAAATCGAAATATTTCCGGGGTAACCCGGACACCCTTTTTCTCGGAATTCATTGATTCATTAAATCATTTTCAAGAGGGGAAAAAATTGAATTTTGAAGAAATAAAAAGTAATTAAAAGACACCTCAGAAGTCGGGAAAGCTTATTTCCCGCCTTCTAAGAATCAAAATTTTCCCGAGGAGAACCCCCGGACCCCCCTTTCTTTTTCGGAATTTATTGATTAATGGAAAAAAATATCGTATGCAATTACGGTACTCAATTTGTTTATGTATGTAAACACACATAAAATAAGACATGAGAAAAATTTTCCTGACCGTTTTCGTTTCAAGAGGGGAAAACCTTGAATTTTCACAGCTGCGAGTAGATGAATTATTATTTTAATGACACATTTTATAGTTGCATATTGCGGCTACCCTGAATATTAAAATTTCTTTTAAAAGACATGCACCTTTTTTCTTTTTTTTCTTTTTTATTTGTTACTGAAAACTACCATGCTAGATAGTAAAAATTGACTTATTGCAAACTCATATTCCTTGCACCCTCACCAGGGACTCTGCCCCTGGACCTCGCTGGGGGCCTTGGGCGGCCCCCTGGCCCCAGCCAAAGGCTGCTCGCTTCGCTCGCAGGCTGCGCCCCCCCCCCCTCCTTTTCTGGCAGGCTGGATCCGCCTATGGCACCATAATCGCTGCGGCGCTTAATCGAGAGTACTGTCAATACTGTTCGTAATGAAACAAGGATTTAAATACAATATACAGTGTTAAAATGAATAACTCAATGAAGACACAAGCATTTCTTTACAAACGTTTGTTTACGATGATAGGACCTATGATAGACCTACTGAACTACGAATAATGTGAAATAGGTATCATAGGTACGGGCATGAAAGCGCCACGCCCAATATTTTTTTTATTAGCACCGCTCTCGAATAAGCGCCACACTGAAACCTGCAGAAATGTTAAAAGCGCCGCGACGCTTATTCGAGCATTTGTGGTACTGATTATAGTCATAATTACCACTATCCTTATAATCATCATCTTCACTATAATCATTAGGCCTATCATTATCATCATCAGCTTCATTATCATCATCGCTATCATCATGTCGTCATCATCATTATCATCATAATCATCAGCTTCATCATCATAATCATCATAACAAACCCTCATCAATTTATGATAAGAAATTTGTGTTTGTACAATTTTATTTTATCCTGACAATCATCATCAACGTCGAGGCTTGTCATACTTACAGTATAAGTACATCACAATAAAACAATACTGTAATTCAAAACACGACACAACTATTTAATATAGCCTTTAACAAGACAGCGTACGGTAGTTTACAAGTTTTTCCTCCACAATGTACATCTCCCTAAATTGAGTATTTGAATCCACACTCCCGTGGCACAGACTGGTGAGATTGTTGAACCGTTTTTAATTGACAAGCAAATGGAATCCTCTTTTTTCTTGCTGCTAGATTTGTCAAAATATATTGAGTTTCCTTGCGGATATGATTGACTTCTATTGTTGTTAGGTCTAATTTGAAATTATATTGTTTCTTTAAAAGTAAAGTGAAAAAAAATATATAAAACTTTGAAATGATGATACTGTATATTAGTGACAGTGTGTTTTTGTGAATGTAACCGACGTTTTTTGTCTTTTTTTTTTACGAAGTAGAATATCCTATTGCAGCCGAGACGATTAATATGGCAACAAAAAGTAAAATACAGGTCTCCCTCCAATTAAATACCATTTTGGGACCGGGGTTTCCATGGTCTTTGTCAGCTTTGATGACTAATTAGTATAGTGCCTAATAAAGATAAAAACAATTGTGGATGTAGGGCCACAGTAAGTGGTCTTTAATCGAAGTGGGGCCTATTTTGAGATATTAGAACAAGATGATAATGGACGAATATAATTTTCAAGTCTTAAACAGACAATTGAGGGCGCTCATCATGCCATCAAAAACGCACCAAAACTGAACAGTATGAATGTCGTCGGGAACCATCGAATATGGGATCGAATATCACCTCTTTGGTTTGCAACTACAAACTTTTAAAGTTATAGACCTAAATGACATGGTAGTTTAAATCACACTCTTAAAAATCGATCGATGCTACGTTTCAGACTTCTTCCAATTTTATTGAAAATATTTTGACAAAAACATTTTGTACCATGTTTTACCAAATCGAACAATAAACACCTAACTGGTATTGAAACTCACAACCATTATTATAATACATGGAAACAGTAACTTATTTATTTATCGTTACTGGACTTGACAAACTTGTGGCATTAAGAAATCAAATAATCATACACATGTTACTGATTCAACATGACAATAATTACACTTACTGTATTTTAACACTATACATGGAGCCTGGTTATACAAACGATTCGTGTACTGGCAGCAATTTGTTCACGTAACAGAACTGATTGCAACACTTATTATCAGTGTTAAAAATGCCATGTCCCAAAGGTGCATGGATTTGATATGTGCCTTACGTACGCCGCAACTACAGGATAAAGCTCAGTCTGCCTTCACAATCAGCAGACGGCGTCGCCAAGCGCTCACAGTGAGCGGAGCCGATTCTTCGGTCGACAGTCGCGCGAGCACCGTCGTGCGACGCGCAATGTGTACATGTAAAGTAGGAAGTAATTAAGCTTGAGAAGATAAATTCGGACTCCCTGTCAACTCGACGTCACGTGAATACAATGACAATAATTGATTATTATAGACGTCAACAAATAACATTTTTCATAATTATTTACAATTTACTTTATGCAGAATACGTCAATCACTATTAATTTTTTATCATTATTATGATAATAAAAAGACACCCTTTTAAAATTACTCATTCTAACATCCCTGGCAACCGGCTCTTTTGGCTTTTGATATCTATTTCTTTGTATAATTCGTCAGGTCATACGATGCGTCTATTTTCAGTAGTCTTTTGGAAAACATCTTTTACACTTATATACACATTTAATAATCTACTTTCTTGGTCTAAAATGTTGAAGTTCATCGTTTTTGGTGTTATTTAAGTTAATAATAATAACAATACAGTAGTAATAATATTAACAGTAATAATAATAATAATGGAAGATTTTAAATATGTTAATAAATAAATAAATGAATAAATGCAGTATTCTATCTAGATCCAGTATTTTAATGTACAGCCCTAATGACGTCATAATGTGAGCTGAAGTCAAAATACCTTTTTAAATGGCAACCAATCAAAACAAAACAGAGAGTTTATAGTGTTAAAAACACAGAGGTATGATTGTTGGTTCATTGACACAAGAAGTTAGCCTATGACATTGACACTTTAATATATTTTTTCTGCTTGATTAACAAAGAAAAACTCTTTTATACACTCATCCTCCTAATTGTAGTTTTTAGGCGTTAAGCATTTGTGTGAAAATAACCGCATCGATGATAACGATGCAGACGATGTATATCCACATAAAAAATCTATCAAGAACACTGGCTACTAACTGCCAGTCGCTTATCAGCTGGTCGGTTTTCTCTTTCTCTGAAAAATGATCAACTAAGAAACGTAGATGGCGCAACATTTCACGACACATCGGGTCCGTTGACGCATCCAGCGCTGAAAGTCGTATATTACGCGTCCCATTTAAACGCTTCTCTCTGGATGCCATATCAATCGGGTCATCATGGGGGCCCATGTCCATATCCGTGTAAATAGTTTGAGTTATTGGTTCGTAGTTGCGTTTGGAGTTGCTTCGCTGAATATTGGATACGTGCACATGAAGACATAAAGTGCGCGCGAGAAATTGTAAGAACACTATTTGCATCCATCTTGGCAACGGGCTTTGTCGATGATGACAGTTCAATACAAATACAGTCATTATTGTAGAAATCGAAACTAACATTATTGTGATAATATAAAATCGAGCTGAAAAAAGGAATAGAAATATGTAAGATGGTCTAAAAGGCATTATCATTTTTTTTTTAAAGAGAGAATAACTTGCCCTATACAAAAAGGAATACGGTAGTCTGCTACGGTATAGTAAAATAACGGGATTTAAAGGGCATCTGGGGCTATAAAATAAAACGCATAATTATTGCCATCTAAAATAAATTGATCATGAAACAGATCAGATGATACTTTTATTATGATATTCAGACTCTAACGACCATAATTAAAAATCCATAGGGGACATAAGTAATGCCTTGTGAGTTCTCTGCCGAGCTGACATCACACAGTAGCGCTTACAGTCAATCTAAAGATCTGCTTCAGCAGCGTGATTAATGAGACTCTACTTCGCGGCACGTCACAGTCGATTTAGCCGGTTATTCTACGTAGCGAACTATTCTTGCGAAGCAAAAATATTTATTAATATACACATGAAAGAGTGATTTCGATTGAATTTCTACTCTGCTTTCCATGTAAATTCGCCGGCGGAGCTTTGATAAGAATGAGGTGATGGATCACATAGAAGGAAAGACATGACACGCGGGGATGTGGGATGGTATCGTACTGGTAATAGCCTATTGCATTATTTATATTTAATGTTAGCCTAATTCTGTATTCTGAATTTACATTTTAGATGGCATAAAAATTACGCAGTCTAGACGTTCTAAAATTTAATTAAGCATTATGAAAAAAGAGAAAAAGCGATGACTTACAGAGTAGCGGAATATCATTACCAGTTGCCGGCATGTTTTCAGCTACAACCAACATAAACACTGTTAATGACAAAAGTACGGTGATACCAAGCGACACTTTTTCTCCTGAGTTACATGGTAAAAGAAATCCGACCAATGACATTGCAGATATCAGCAGGCATGGAACGACAAGATTAACAAAATAAAACAGAGGAAGCCGTTTGATCTCCAGTTTAAACGTCACGCTGGCGTACGTCTTACCCGGGCAACAAGTAAAACTCTCCAACTCCTTCGTGTTGGTCATTTCTGTGTTTTAATAAAAAATAAAGGAGTTATAATTGGCAGAATGGATGTTGATACTTGACTTTTGTTGATTGCATAATAAATAAAAGTTGCCTTTCAAAATGCAAGTTATTTGCTAGTTGTAGCCTTCATTGTCATCTCGAAACCTTTATCAGCTAACAGGTTATTCCACCCGAAGTGGTCTTGTGACTAAGTAAGCCACAAATTATGAATCTGTCAAATGACAGCGAAAGCTACGACAATCAAGCAAATTAAAAAAAAAACACTTTTATTTATTATAATTAATGATAAAATAACTAATGACTATTTCGAAATACCAATAATAATGCGCACAATGTATAATGAATCAGTCAAGCAATTACCAGTATTTATTAATATTATCATCATCATCATCATAATAATCATTAATATTATTAATTATTATCATTGTCATCGTCATTGTTGTCATCGCCGTCGAAATCGTCCTTGCCAGAGTTGTTATTGTTACATACATTGGCTTGTGTATCATACAGGCTGAGAAAGAAAATGACAAAAAATGACCAATCGTCGCCGTCTAAATCTATAATATCTGCATTATTCATATAACATCTGTATCCTCTGCATGAGTAATTGCAAGTTAGCCGTGAGACTGCTCTGAGTTTTTTAAAATAAAAGTTGATTTTTATTTTTACCCAGTTTTTTAATTTCTAACTTTCTAGAATCAATTTTGGAGTGAATAATCGCAATTTTCAATGTTCATTTTCAATACAGTATTAACTAAAAATAATTTAAAAAAAATTAACATACTCAACGTTTGCCATTCACCATTATCCTCATAGTTCGACGCATCTGACGTCAAGTTGAAGTAGTCAATATACCGAGTATCGTGCTGCCACGATCCAAACTTCAAACGACAGTCTTGTTTATCAAATGGGTAAAGGTAGACGTCAACTGAACAATGACTCTTAATCGTAAGGGGCGCACTCCAATCGACGTTGCCATCGTTCGTCACAATTACATTTGTCGTTACGGTCATAAACGGTTCATTAGAACTCTCGTCACGACTGGAACCCATAGGGGGGAAAAAGAATTTGATGTAATACAAACAAGTATAACATAGCCAATTTATGTCCATGTTTTTTTTTTTTTTTTTTTGTTGAAATGTGGAAAATACAAACTAAACCAGTCACTCAAGGGTTCAGCATTGAAATGAAAGTTATAAAATGGAAAATAATTGTTTAAATCCGACATTTCGTTATTAAGTTAAGAGCTTAAACATACCGCTGTTTAAAGAACAGTATTTGACTGAAATCAACCTTAACAACTTTAAAATTTCGGACATTTCTCAAGCAGAGACCATAACTAAATTAAAAAATGTTGTTTTAACGTGAAAACGGGGAAAATATCAACAAAGCATGATGTATAGACATAATAAAGTGTAGTTTATTGAAGCAGATTTCGAAAATGTGGACATTCCAACATGTTTTGGCCATTATCTCTGAAACACTAAATGCGAGGATTGATTGGTTTGACTTGGTTTTGTCACAAATTCTTTTTTGAAAATCTAAACCAATTGCACCAAAATACCAAAACCTGAAAACGTATAATAATTAACAAAGAAAACTAAATTGATGTTCAGTATCGAATATATCTATGTAAAGTTGTGACACTCCATTTTGTTAAATTCTAAATATGAACACATTTGAAAATGTGTTTTATACCATCTTTCAATCCATTCTCAACATCTTTATTGGAATAGTTTAATTACGATAAACATAATAATAAAGGCATCTAAACAATTATTAACCACGAGAACGGTATTTAAAATTATTTCTCAATCAAAATATTTCTAAGTGATATATAATTAGAAGTTTTTTTTCAACAATTCATGAGATGCGATTATTGAACTATCCTAGAGCCGCTTTTTAAAAAGTTAGCAATTAGGTCTAAATCAAATTGGTAAATTTTAACGACACTAATTTTCGGTAAATGGAACTACATTAAACTCAACGTTGCTGTTTAGTGCTGAACAAGTTTTCGGCTCCAGTTACGATGTAGAAGAGCAAAATCACATCAGTGAGCGAGAAAAACAGTTTGAAATTTCCTATGGTTATTAAGACGAGACGGTTGTTCAAAAAATGTTGTATTAGAATTTATGTTTCCCAAGCTTACAAAAACGATAACCTATACGGCTAAGTCAGCAAATGTTTAGTCAATCCACCCCTACAGTAGCATATCTAGGCCTATCACACCGTAGGTCACCCATGCTTTTTACACGAATCAACGATCATATTCAGCTCTTATATGTATTTTCAAGAATTCTTTAGGCACAAATGACGATAATGAAGATGATGCCATTCGTATTCGTTATCATTTTCGTAAGGTTGCGAAAACTCCCTAATATCCCCCCGAATGACAAACAAATCCTGACTATCTTAATCTTACGTGTTGTATAGTATTGTATCTGGAAGCCACACTTTGCTTGCTGGAACTCGAATTACGTCCAAACCGTCATAATCACTGGAATTCCAGGTAAGGTATTCGTCTTTCCATCGCTGAAATTAGTCCATTAGAACATTATTCAAATCATTATTTAACAAATTATTATTCTAAAAGAAAAGGCCAATAATTCCCTTAAAACAAAACTGCAATATATTACGGTTCGTTTGAAAAAAGCAAGCAAAGACATAGCGTTTACAGCACGAAAGGGTAGCAAGTGTGTGTACGATGGGCCTCTCCACTAAGCCCCGCCCCTTGGATATTGTTGCTAAGGACGACAGTGTTAAAAATACGCAAACACGTGCATTGATGAAATGCAAGCAAGCACATAGTAAAGCCTACTTTTAGCAAATCAGACTTCATGTCAATAGGTTGGACAGGTTTCACAATGCGCATACAATTAAGAAAAAATTTGCTTTAAAAACATGATGGGTGGGTAAGGAGGGAGCCGTATGTATTAAAAGGCAAAAAAAAAAAAAAAATACTGGAAACAACAACAATGTTTAATAGCTGATTTTTGTGTTTTCAGCGATGCCCGACCAAGCCCATTTACTTACGCTCTCGTCGAGCAAATCATGGCGGCTCCTATTTTATTGTATATGATTTATATTAGATTTAATTAACGCAAAAACCAGAGAGCAAGTCTAAGGCGAAATTACAAAATGTTTCGAAACCGTGTAATGTTAGATCACAGATCCTATATTGTATAAATAATATAGGATCTATAGTTCGATAATAGTCACACGTGCTACATGAAACGTAGTTATCATCTTAGGAACACGGCCATAAGATCATAATCACTTCCACATGTGAAAGATTACCGTCAAATCAAAATACTAATTTATATACATCAACTAATCAATCAATGTATTCCGCTCGGAAGCTCCACCTTTGCATCATCGGTGTCATACACATATGTGATGCATTCATATTTACCATACACATTCAGTAAATGAAGTACTTAAAATAAATAAAGCAAAAGAAAATTTAAAAAAATTATATATTGAATGTATAAATAAATAAATGAATAAATAGATTTTAAAAAAAGAAAACAAGCAAACAAATAAATATATGAATATAAATGAATACATGAACATATGGTAAAGAGCTAGAGAAATACAAAAATAAAATAGAGATATCCGTACGTTGTTTAAATCATTCTACGAATCTGAAGGAACGTCACGCTGACAGTGGGGACGTAACATCCATTGCTTCTTTTTTTTTTATTGACTTCGCTGCAACTCGTATCCATGTATACAGTATCCAGATGCATGACAAAATTACTGTAACAAAATCGTTGGGTTGCCAAACATAGTGACGTTTTGAAACCATGGTGGGTTGTTGGGAATTTCCTTTGTTTTACTGTAGACACACACACACACACACACACACACACACACACACACACAC